ATATATATATATATATATATATATATATATATATATATATATATATATATATATATATTCAAAATAAATGACACAATTTATCAAGAAAACTTTTTTTAAGTATTGGCATGAAAAAGAAGCATGTAGGGTGTAAAGATAGGCCATAAAGCTTTAATATGCACATTCTGCTTCTGGTATATTAGATGTGAGACTCTCCTGTGTCCTGGGAACTTCTTGATGCCTGAAAATAAAAAAAAATGCAAAGAATATGAGTGAAAAAAAATGCATTTATGAAAATATTTCTTTATTATAAGACAATGCTTTTCTTTGTCAGAGTAAAATACACTATTGCCTACTTCACTTCAGTATTTCATAATGCATTACTGATTTAAACAAAAGACAGTTGAGGTGCGGTCTGAGGCTGTTAGAAGGTTTGTACAAAGTTGAGAAAATACTTGATTATTGGGTTTATTTAATATCCAGTCTTGGAAAAGAAATGTTAAGCTATAGTTCAAACCATATATGAACATAGTCTGAATAAAGTTATAAATAGGGTTATTTAATATTTGAAATAAAATTACACTTTATATTTAGTTTAGTTAAAACCAGTTAGGATTTTCTAATTATTAAAGGCACACCTATGGATATCCTTTAAAAGGTCAAGGTTTTTACCACAGTGGAACTGGAACTATAATTATATGAGGTAAAAAAAAATGGAAATGTTCATCCTAGGCTATACTAAAGATTCTTTCAAGTAGAGTAAAATAAGGAATAAGTCTGTAAGTTTAAAAACACCTTTCTTGCTAATGTTAAGGGCAGTGGTAAATTGCTGTGCTGTTTTATGTAGGAGGGACTTGTTTACTTTATGAAAAAGAGGAAATTATGAAGACAGAACATTGTGTTCAAAAACATAATGAGCATGCTGAGAGACAAAAACATAAAGCTTGAGGATAAATTGCTTTTTCAACCTGGCTATGAACCAACATATATCAACAGATTAGTTACAAAGCAACTATGGGATCATGAAAATTGATGTTTTGGAGAAAATTATTAGCCATCAAAATCATCTTCGTAACATTGAAACTTCATGAATACAGCCGGGAAGGTGTGTCTGAGCAAAGTGGGCCACAAATCAGACACTAGATTTAGACTTAGATTAAAAGTATGTAATTTTGTGAACATGCTTCTTTTGAGTGGAAATAGTATTGATGGCAGAAAATGAGCGAAAGATTAAGGCTTTTAAGATGAATGAGTTATTGCTTATTATCAAACTTGAGAAAACCAGTGAAAACCGTTAAAAGCGAGTCAGCAGATTTTAAAGACAGTTTAGTTGCTGTAAGGCAAATACATCTTGTATTTGTTGTTGATTTATTGCACTAATGCTGTCTATCCTAAATCTGATGTGTCTTTTTCCAACAACAGCAAAGTAAAAAAAAAAAAAAAAAAAAAGTAATTTTAAATCAAACTCTTGCAGATGTTGCAGTTGCAGAATTAATAATTCTGGGCATGGCTTAACTGTACAATAGAAAATGTTACATTTCATGTAACACAAGAGAAGGAAAAAGAGAACTGTTGTATCTTATATATGTAAATATATAGAAATATCTGGTTCCAACTATAATATTTACATGTTTCTCTTGGTGGATTGGTGTGAATGTTTTTTTTTTTTTTTTTTGTTATGCAACCAACTACTTCATTAAATGTAAAATGTATGCTTACATTAGCTTTACTTGAATGTGAGAAGTTGAACTCGGAGTATGCTCTCTTCTGAGGTGTGCATAAACGAGAAAGAATGTTTTCATACTCCTCCCTCACCTAAAATCAGAAAACACATTGAGTTATTTTAATTGAAGGTGTGGAAATACAAAAGCAGTATTTTTGTTAATTAAAAAAAAACAAAAAAAAATTTTTGGCTGACCTGCTTTGAAAAAAGACAGTGCATGACAAAGAGCATGACACCTTGCAGGCTCCCCAAAATAGTGAACAGATAAGACATGACTATTGTGCCCTTCTCAAACTGGAAACAGCCAAAGATCCACATGGTGCCGAGCACACAGAGCTGAGCCACTGCAGTAATGGTGAAAGCCCTGCAGGGGGCAACAAATACACATAAATTATTGAATATAATGGAGACACTTGATTTGATCATGTTAGGGAGGGTCAGTCACAAAGGAAATTGTGACATTTTACT